TATAAGATAGATATATATATATATATATATATATAATATTCCTAAATGTGATACCGAACAAGTTGAGTCTATTGTCCTTTCTTCAGTGATCTCTCCCAGTCGACCTACAAAGCATTCTGATCAACAGCTGCTTCTTCTGACATGACGTAATATGCAAAGACCACACTAACCAAGTCTGGCTAAAACCTTAAGGCATTTCTGATCTAGTCATGCCAGAACAGAAGAAGACAAAAACATCTGATTGCCAATTGGACCTTCCAAATCTGGACTAAAAGAGTGAATCTAGAGTATATTAAGTATGTCAGCCATCTCACTGTATAAAGCTTAACATCACGGACCTGACTGAATTTTGATCTGCCATCCATGGCTGCTTTACAGTCCCTATATCAGACTTTGTCATGTATAACTGAGAATGAATAAAGAAGTTCTTTGAGAAGAGAATGGCATTTATTCTGAAGCAGGATGTATTTCCTTCCACACCACTATGCTCACTAATCAGTGCCAGAAACCCTGATTCAGACCTTTCATCAATAACAGCCGAGGATGAGGGAACAGAAGAGGTCTGCAGTCAACTGTGAAAGCCAATTTATACTGTGCCAAAACCAGTGTAATGCTTAGCCCAGAGGGTTTTGGAGTTAAATACAGAGGAAGAAGCTGTTGATCAGAAGCTTTTATAGGAGGTGGACTAGGAAGGATCACTGAAAAAGAACAAAAACTGATTCAGTTTTGCTTGGAGGATATGTATGACCCTGTAAACACTGTATTAACTTTTCAGTTAGGAATAATGGGCTTGGGTCTCTTCACATAAGCTCTGCAACAGCAAATCATTTATATCAACATGCAGAAAAGCTGTAAACCAGAATTCCACTGAATGCCGAATATGTCAGAATTGGGAGGCAGAAGGTCCCTGGTCATTAGGAAGTACCTTCTGCTGAAATGCAAAAATGTACCATCAGAAATGACAGTATTAATTTGTACTATCAAAAGCAATTTAGAAAGTGTAAAGCCACTTCAATATACCATAAAGAAAAAACCATCATTGTAGCCAAAGCAGGATCTGGCTGCAGTCACAGCTACTGAATTATGAGTATGGCTACATGAGTTCTGTTTTAGTATCATTGCTTACAACATTTGAATGACACAAGTATCCTTCAGCACATTTTAGAGGTCTCCTGAAGGTGTCACTAAAAAGTGAAGGCAAATAGAAAAGACATCATAATGGAAAAGTCACACAGGAATACCTGATGTGGGAGTCATGCCTTCTAATTTTGGTCATCTAAGCTTAGCCCAACCTAAGATAATTCTCTAAGATGATTCCAGTGGTTGCTTGGAATTGCCTGTCTCTCTCCATAGACCAGAATTCTTTTTCATGTCATGGGAACACATAATTGGCCAATGCCTCAAAATGCATCTACATGTTCTCTCAGTTTCGTGCTCTTTGCAGCTCTAGAGTAATAAAAGTTTTATCAATAAGTTTTTATTTAGGAGATCTGACATGATGATTTTAATTCCATTAGTTTGAAAAATTCCAAGTTGATACCAATTTACTCATATTTATAAAATAATTTGGAAAAAATATCTGTATTTCATTTTTCCTACACTTAAAAGTTTCCAAATGTTGATAGACATGGAAAAATGTGTCACTGTTACAAGAGATGGTTAAAGGACAGGTAATTAATGTGTTGTTCTTTCACGATCTTTTATAATGAAAACTGGCAACACATCTCAAGTCAAATAAGAATATAATTAAAAGGATGCATAATACAAACATATTTACAGCATTGTCTAAATTTGCTACTGACAGGAGTAATTATAGTGAATTACCCCCTACAATATAGGAAAATCCTGTACAGAACTATTATACAGTGTACTGTACTTTATAGAAGACAAAAACCTAAAGAGCCAGGAATATAGTATCTGCTTAATTATGTCAGAAAAAATATTCTAGTTCCTTGTTTCTGTTCTCTAGAAATTTAGATGACTCTCTCACCCACATACATACAAATACACAGCTGAAACATTTTCTTCAACCTAATGTTGCTGTTGATGACATACCAATAAGACATGCTTATGTAAAAGTTTCTACAATATGGCCTGTGCCCCTACAGACTCATAGTCATTCACTGGTAGTAGATAATCTCACTAGGGATGCTTTAAGAGCTGAGTGAGATCTCTAAGTTCTTGTATAGCTCCTTTACTCTTATCTCAAAAGCTTCTCCTCAAGTACATCCAAAACAAATTCAGGTGTATCTAAGCAAAATAAGAGATAAATTCATTACTTCTATAATTTATGAACTCTTGAAAATATGGTTTTTTGCTTATTCTGCATCTTTTGGTGGTAATAACTTGGTTAGTGCCATGGTAAATGTGGCTCACTGTGCCAAATACCGTTGTTTTCTGTATAGATCATACGCAAGGAAGCAGTGTAGTTGAATACAAGTGAATCCCATATAAAAGCATTTTATACAAATACACGTTTCTGCATCCTAACTATAATCATTAACAAAAGATTGACTAAAGCTGTGTTAAACACCCTCTGGATGTTTGAAGTGATTTAACAAGACCACAGAACATGGTTCTTTAAAAAACGCAGTTTTTTCAACACCTGTATTTAATGTTCGCTACAATTCTGTAATGGAAAAACACAGAGAGAATCTTGGATCTCCACTGAAATGGAAAGAGAGCACAAAAAGTACTTGACCAGCAATGAATAACAAACTCATTGAGTAAATCAGAAAAAAAAGTCTCTGTATGTATCTAAAATGCAGTGCTCATATGTTGCTGCATTGGTAAGATACCAAGAGACAGGATTTGAGGGTGACCTATTATACGCCGAAAAATACACAATTATTCGACAGTCATTATCTTTACTTTTGCTGGATCCTAGCCTACTTATGTTGTCTAGGGTACCTATAGATGCCCTAACTAATCATGAGACACCTATTCCATTTTGTTAATCATATCCTAAAGCTGGAGAGCCATATATCCATGCCTCCAGTTATATTATTGTATACTCTGTGTTTTAAGATGAGTGCCACGTCTAAATGTTGTACTTGAAAATAATGCAAAAATTACTTTAACAGAATCAGTGTTAGGTCTTGCATGGAACCGTATACAGTGAAACTTACACTTTTAGCCAGAAGAGATAGTATCTGACATCTTTTTCAGGTAAATACCTTCCAAAAGATTTTCCTTGTATTGCTGACCAGTGTGAGAGAAAACAAATTGCCATTTTCCACTTGTTTTATACTGAAATGAATTTATTATTCCTTTAACATCCCTATCAGAATCCTGAACAAAAGACAGATAATCAGTTAAGTATGGCTTTAAAAAGCGTGACCTGAAATCTTCCCACTCTAAGTAAAAATATAGGAAATTAAAGGACGTAAGATGAAATATTATTCTAGTAAATGTCGGTGTTACTAGAAATACTCTTCATGTACTGTTTACTTCCTGTGTGACACAATAATTTTTTCCAAAAGTGTAGTATTTATATGATGTCTTTAATAGAAGAAAGGCACTTCTGCTGACAGCTGCTTAATGCAATTTTGGTTAGCACAAGTTTAACAAAAATCTGTAGTTTTGTGAAGCTAACACAGCAGCAGCAGATGGATGACATCTGAAGCACCAGTCAAATGTAAAGGAATTATAGCAGGAGCAGAGAGGGCTGAATTTTGCCCACTAAGATTACAGGCTACTTATAGGTTATATAGTGACAGAAATAGCTGTAGCAGCACAATGTTACCATAGAAACTTGTAGACCAGTAAAATATTCCTCCAGCTCTCCACCAATTGAGGGACAGGAATACAAAGCTCGACATGGTAATGAGAACCACCAAGGGATGATGAATATGAATTGATTGAGGGTGGGGATTAAGACAGACCTTAACAAGCCTTTAGGAGTGAAGAATGGCTGTGACTTCCCTAGTTAATAGAGTGACATTTAATACTCCAAGATCTCCCACATTTGTTGGCAAGAAAATGTTTCCCTGAAACATTGCTTTTTTTCCTTGGGATTAAACTGTCTTTCAGATGTTTTTCTTAATGACTTTGTACTCGGTTTATATACTGGGGGCTTTAGGGGAGAGGGGCACGATTCAAAATAATATGGTCTGTGGCTTCAGATCTCAGAAAACTGTACTTTATGAATCTAATTAAATAAAATTAGCTAATTTAAACAGATTTTAGTGTCTGCACCATTTAATATTTCCAGGTAAAAACTGCAAAATGAGACACTGTAATTCTCAATGCACACACCTAGAAATCTGTTTCTAATTCACTCACTTTGTAATTGCATATTCAAACATTTTATCCTGTCGAGGTCACAAAGTCAAAGTTTTGCATGTTTATTGCTGATTGTTTTGGAAAATGTAACATCTCCATCAGTAGAGAACCTTACAATTTTCTGGAATTTCAGTAAAAAAAAAAAAAAAATCTATGTCTTTTCCACCAATAGTTTTCATAGTATCCTGTACACTTTCCAAGATACATTAGTACATATGCCATCTAACTCATACCACAAGAACAAGTCCATCTGTTTAGATATACTAATTTTGTCACAGTAAATGGTATGTGTTGGGTTTGTACTATTTAAAATTTTAACAGTGCAGTGTACAACTTAGGGTTTTTTATATATACATAGTAGTGTGCAGATATTACCTCTCCTACAATTTATTGAAGACCAAAGAAAATATACTATATAATCCATACAACTCCAATTCATGTGTTTCCAAACATTTGCAGCATCTATATACTGCTCTTAAAGATGCAGGCTAGACAGACTGAAGGAATAAAAAATTAAACATCTGAGATAACTTAGCAAGTCAGTGAGATGGAGCTCTAAGTCTGCATTTTGGGTCAATTGGTAGGACTTAGAGTAGCACTGTGTCCAAATGAGCTATCAAATATGGAAATCAAACAAACTGTGTACTTAATACAGCATTTATCACATTTATCAATGTTTATCAAAACATTGTTTTGAGTATATCTGCTTATGTTACCTTGCTGTATCTTTGTTGTCCACATCAGTCTTTGATTTCTGAGAGGTCACTTGTTCTGGTGAAAAGGCATCCCTGCAAGAAGAATAGTAAAAACACACTTAAGGCACAAGAAGATATTTGGAAACACATTATATCATTTAAATGGGTTATTATTGTTGATATAATTCTTACAAGGGTAACTACAGTGAATTTGGATTTTCTTTGAGAAACTATTTTCTGTTTGTTTTTTTTTTTTTATTTATATAAAGAATTATATATATTTAAAAATATATATAGTTATGTAATACTTTACTTGACTAGATTATTCCATCCACTGAGACTTTTGAAAATTAGTATTCCAAGACTAGATGTTTTGCTAGTATGGATCTAGTAAGAAGTGGTTCCTTCACTGTTTCAAAATTATTTTAGTAATAAAGGAACTTTAAAATACTTTTCTATAACTACTAAATAAATTTTACTTATTTAGTAAAGACTAACATATTACTTATTTAACAAAGTACTGATTTTTAAAAATCTAAATAAGTGATCAGTTGCACTTCTCTATTTTTACTTTTTTGTGTGGACAGATTGGCCATTAAAGGAATACTGAAATTATAAGATATTATAAGAAAGGGAGAAGGTAGGCAATAAAGTGAGAAATGAGAGTTACATGCTGCTTTAGATAATGTTTCTTTTAGGAAGGCAACTAAACCATGACAAGTTGTGTAGATGTCTTAATTATAATCCATGAGATTACAGGTTGGTTAAGTAACTTTTTCCTGATTTAGACAATGTGAAATGTACATTTAATGAATGAATTAATTTAATAAATTTATTTTCTAAAATTAGAGTAATCTTTGCAGACACTCAAATAAGTTTAGAGTACTTTACATCAATTCATTTTATGTTAACGCCTTCTATTACAAGCCATTGCATGTGCACAGCTTTTTAATTTGCTACTTTTTCTTCACTTTGCTCAGGCTCTGTTTTTCACTCTCTTTAAAGCATCAATTTAATATAAAGGAATATTTGCATTAGCAACATATATAACTGTGAACTAAAATTGTGAAGCAGTTTTAATTTTTTATGCAGTTATAGTTGTTTTTTCAATTTGAATAAATATCCAGTGAAATGTTCTAAGCCATGTGAAAATAATTAAATTTCTGCAAGGAAGGAAGTCTTTTTCATGCACTTCTGTGACATTGACTATGGAGGAACCCTCCCAGGTAAATTATACAGGGTTTGTATTATACATAAATGTAAAATAATAATCAAGGTTTGTGCACAGGAGTGTGTTGCATTTCTAAATCTACTAAGAAGCAAAGTAAATAAAACATACATTGTTGGAGCCTCTGAATCTTCTGAAGTGGTCCTACAGAAAGAAAAGAATAAACATTTCAGAAACCAAGTAGCAAAATGCTAGTAACAAAGCACTTGGCAAGATTTCAGATCAGCCAAGAGAAATTAATTTTAGTTTTCCTTCCTTCCAATATGTTATTTTTCTTTGTTTCTTAATGTGGAACATAACCTGTTTAACTCAAGTAGCATAATACTAATTTCTAATCATATTCTTTATATGTTACTAAAACAATCGTTCTTCAATTAACATTCTCCAGTCAATCATTCTGATCAATAGTGTTTTGTTTTCAGGACACAATTCACAACCCAAAACCTCAGTTACAGTGAGCTGCTTACATTCTTGGTTTCAATTGCAATTTTTTTTAAGCATTCTGTAAATCAGCCTAGACCTGAGGCAAAGCACTCTAGAAGTTTACATGTCATGCTTGAGTACAAAAGGCTAGAATCAGGTCTCAGAATCAGAAAAGGTAAGGAAATAATAAACCCTGATCAAAAAACCCCACAACCCTATGATTGCTGAACTCCCTTTCTGAGGATAGCAGAATAATCAGCATTCTCATATTTTGAAGAAAAGACACAGCTCTTTTCTCCACCCATCTTTATGACTGATAGTGACCTTTTAAAACTGTGGTTATTGACATTCTATTTCCTGAAACTCACAGGTGAGTAGAAGGTTTTCCTTTGGCAACTATTAATGGTTTCAGCAATATTCACAATTTGAAATAGCTTTCACATTTTCAAACACTTTTAAAAGATAAACAAATTAATTATTTAATGCACATCACTGTTTAACCAACTGTCCTTGGTGTCGTCGTTAGATGATCCAGGAAGGGCTGTGAAAACTTCAGAAAGAATAAGCCTGTATTTCAGTCTTCTCTGAACTATGAGAGTAGAGGAGTAACTGGATAATTAGTGTTGAGAAGGACACAGGAATCCCAGCTTCTGTTGGAAGCTGGGCAAATGCCATATAGAAGATGCATCCTATCCTATACTTTCAATATTACCATGAACATAGTGAGATTATTGAAATGAAACCAGATAAATTCATCATAGGTGACATATTAAAAATATCTGGTAAGCACTGACTTAAAAGAAAATAAACTTTAGCATCTAGAAGCTATCTTTCTGCTGGGTGGTGAATGACTTTGAATCTTGGTCAAAGAGATGGACAGTAGTAAACACAGAATTAGATTAAAAATAATTGCTAAACTTGGTTTTAAGGATTCATCTTAAAGTCTTCCAGTGACAGAGATTCCTTAAACTCCCTAGGCAGTGGTCTACCAAGGAATTATACCTAACATTGCAATGTACCCATTCATTCCTGTTTAATTTTTATTATTGATACTCATGTTGGAAATTTTCCAGATTAAAACTAGGGAAGGACAAGGCCATGCTGCAGCCAATAGGGGACCTAAGCAAAGAATATAACAAAAGTTCATTCATAAATATTTTAAACCATCTATATTCTGCTTTTAGTTGAGAGCACAAGAAATGTTCTCTTTCTGATCTGCCAGAAAGCAACCACAACTTTAGAAATAAACATTAAACATTCATCTGCAAGTAACTTTAGTCTGAGATTTTCTTCTAAATTATTTCTTAGACACCTTACTGAGAGCTGACTAAGGAGATCTTGAGGTTTTGTCGGCACTGTTAACCAAAAGGCCCCAGTGTTAGTCCCTGGCTGTTAGACCAAATAGCACCAATAGGTTCCTGCCCTCATGGGTAGTCACTTTGTAGCAGATTTTTCTTGTGGAGAGCTATCTGGAATAGTCCAAAGCAAAACCATGAAATGCAACAAAAAGCGTTGTAGCAAAATTTTGGGAGCACTTATGTAACCTCAAGTCTCTGGAAGTTCATGCACTCAGACCTCAGTTAATGCTGGGCATCATGCTGCTAGGAGCCCAAACAAGTATTTAGGTATGGAATGCTTTCTCTTCCCATGCCATCTTACTCATCCAAGTCCCTCAAAGAATTACCCTATTGGCTCACCTCCAAAATCAGCTCTAGCCAAGCACTAGGAAACAACTAACAATCAGTACTTACCGTTTGGTTTCCACTGTTTCTGTTGTCTTACTACTTGAAACCAGGGGAGGCATCCAAGATTGCCTGATAGTGTTAAGCGATAAATTTTTGAGTATTAGTTTCATGCTATGGGGCTGAACAGCATACTGTGAATATTAGATTGTCAGAAGTGATTTGGAAATACCTGAAACTTTTCTTAAATGACTAGTATTTTGAAATACTGCACACAGATACTTTTTAGACCATTATTTTCCAGACAATTAAATGAAATTGGAAATAATACAGTAATTTTAATTACTCTTGTGAAAAACGTGTTCTCTGATGCTAGGTGTTATTTTTGCAACCTGAATGGAATAAATAAATGGATCATTCATGGGAAGGACAACCAAATAGAATGCACAAAGGAAAGGGTGTCAAGTATCAACCCAAAAACCACTTTAAGGCTGGTATTAGAGTTCACATAAACATCACAAGCACTTTCAGTTCTTTTTCTTTTTTTTTTTTTTTTGTGTCCCTCCCAAAACTATCACTCCAGAACTATCACTCCAGAAATTGTGAGGAAAAAGCAATTGCACCATAAACAGAGGTTCATCATTCAGTGATAGCCTTTCACATCTTTATAGAGCCTGAAGAGAACTACTGGGCTGAAAAAAACATAAACTTCCACTGAACAAGAAGGGCTGTTAATATGAAAATAATGACATTTTAATTTCTGTTTTCATATTTCTACTGATCACAGTTTTTACACATGAAATATGGAAGGGAAAATCACAAAGAGATAGAATTTGTGGCTGGGAAGGATGCATAAAAACATGGCTATCACCAGTGCTATATTTTAAATTTAAAATGTAGTTCTTGGTTTTACACTCTGTTTTTATTCTTGCCCGGATAATACTATCTGATATCCAAATGTTTAAAGCTAGCTGTATATCATGCAGAAAACTGTGTGGTTCATACGCACTGTAACAGCAGAGGGTCAAGTTCAGCATCAGAAATTTCAGCTGGTCGCAATTAGTGAGCTACAATGCTTTAAATTTAGACACTGAAAAGGCATACGTTAGCTGAGTTAGGGGCTGCAGTGAAGAGTTAGCATCTGTTGTGCTATGTCCACCAGGCGCACAAAAATGGTTCTACAGAGACAGCCTTGCAATACAGTACTCCATGGAAGAAGCCAGAGAACATAAAAGTTTGATTCTTGAAGCTTGCTGAAGAGTTAAAATGTGCTAGAGGAGAAAGTAGGTAATGTTTTTTTTATGTGATACATTACTGAGGTTTAACAGAGTGCTATATATCCTCTGTCAACAAAGCAACGGTGGTAATGAATACCTTTTTTTCTTGATTGGAGAAGTCACAGCAGTGTTTGTGGATGCTGCATTAGGAGTCCATGATTGTCTGTTAGGGAAATATACTTAAGTCATTAATACTTAATAACTGTATCATTTTAAATGGAAAAAAAAAATATTTCAACTATCAGAATGATACAACTGTGTATGGTAAATATTTGTATATGCCAACTTAAATTTTGGAAATACCTCAAAGGATACAAGATTTGGAACACTTTAAGGGATTCTGATGCTTAGAGTACAGATGTGTTTTTACTTGATATCCAAAGTAATTCCTTATTTCTTAAAATCTTTTCTGTACCTGCACTTCAGTCTCCAATCACTAAAATATTATTATCCTTATTTTTCATACTTTAAACCTTTTTTTTTTTTTTTTAATTCAGTTATGTCAATGCTACTCTATTTTATGATATGCCTGTAAAAGAAGCTGGTATTCTTCATACACCTAACTATATAAATTCCAAGCCAGTGATTTGTCTCATAAAGTTTATAAAAAAGATATTGTCTTGTCCTCTTCAATTCTTAAAGAGAATAACTGAAGAACAGAGCTTTACAAATCATTTTACTGATTGCTGGCAGGAAAAAGTATATACCATTTAAGTCTCACTTAAATCCCACTTCAGAATTCATGGTGGGTCTATTAAAAAATAATCTCCACACAAATTTACATAAAATCCAATTTATATGATGTTTCATGTGTCATCATCACTGTGATTTACAGCATAATGGTGCAAAGTCATAATTTAAAAGGATGACCTCACTTGAACTTTAAATGCCAGAGATACTCATTTGCTCTTCAGAGTAATATCTCAACACTCCACAAAATGACACTTAATTGCTGTGCTCAGTCTTCACTAGCAACCATATTCTGTGTAATTTATTACTGACAGAACACTACTGACATTGATGAAGGCATAAAGTGATATATTTGTCCCTTTACATTCATAAATATAGTGGCTGAGCTCTTCTGACTTTCATTTTTTAAGTAAAAATTTCATTTACGTAAGAGCTATATTTTCCTCAGAAAATAAATGTTCCGATTTGTGTAGTCATATTACCTATATAGACTGGCCATCTCTGAATCATATCAGCTTTTCTAATAACATACCAATCATTTTGTGCTAACTTATTTTAAATTAAAAATTGGTTTCAACCTGGTTTAATAAAAATGTTGATCTTCTGACAAAAGAAAAGCATTCCACTGGAAAAATAAGTTAGCCTGCATATCAAAAAAGTATTTTTTATGTTTGGGTACTCCATTTTTCCACTGCCAATGTTCAATGGCATCTTACACTGGAAACCTTAATTAGAATTTTTTCATGTAGTCTTTCCTCAGAAATACATATTATATTGGGTAGAATTCATGCAGAGAAATGTAGAGCTCTAGAACATACTCACACTGAACTGTTTTCAAAACATTCATTATTTCTTTTCTGAATATAAAATACTTTGTTTCTTAAATAATTGCTATGCTGAGTAAATGTGTAATCTGAGCTGGTCTCTCTTTTAATCTATGTGGAGAAATAGACATTTTAAAGAAAAATTCCTCTTATTTTAAAGAAAATACGTGAGAAACATCAAATGAAATGTCCTCCAGAAAGACCCTTTTTCTCCTCACTGGCTATAAAGAGATTCTATGATAACCTAGATATAGGTATCTGCATTCCAGATGTCAGGTGGTGAAATGTAGCCTAATATTAGGCCATATGACACAAATAATTTCTCTATATTTTCTTGGTATGTATATGTAATCCAAAAGATGATAATATATAATATTCAGATGATAATGCATGATAAATGATATGTGATACAGGATAAATTATAATATAAAATACTTAGATGATAAAGTTTCCAAAACTCATACCTGTTGCTTTGCTTATTATTCAGAGTTGGGGACTTATTTGTTTTATCAGTATCACTTCTGGCTGGAATTCTGTCAGAAACACATAAATTATTTATAATACACACTCTAGATCTTTTTTTAAACGAAACCACTTTCAATAAAGTTCAAAGATGGAGCACCACTTTGCCCTACATACAGATTAAAAATTCCCCAGTATCAGGATAGTTATAGAACAAAAGCTGAATTAATATCAGTCTAATGCATTAATATCTGAAGAGTCTAATTAGCTCACTGTAAAGAACTGTTTTAAAAGGTTATGTTCAAACACTCTGTATCAAGTCTCGTTAACAATTTATCACAACTCCTTTGAATTAGATGAGAAAATATTAGAAAGAAAAGAACGCTCGGTCAAGCAGTACATAAAACTATCCCCTTTTCCTCTCCCTCACCATCCCTTGAGAGATGCAACAGTCTTATTTTATTTATAGGTTTAAGAGATCAATGTGATTTGAAAATACTCATGTAAAATCCCAGATAAAGCACAGTAGTGACCTAAGGAATAACACATAACAAAGAACATATTTGTGCTTGAATTAACTTTATTAAGCCATGAAATTTACACTAAGAAGCAACCATGTGATTTTTTTCAAGCCTTTTACAGATTCTACAGTTGTTGCCTAAAACCCTTCTGAAAACCCTTCTGATTTTTCTCAGAAAGTACCACGTAGCTATAGTAGCTGAAAAAGCTTAAATACTGATTTTATTTCAACTTTCTTCCCATATATGGAATATCCTTTAGTAAGAACAGGGGGATTCCGAAAAGCTCAAATATAAAGTGATGTACATTGAAATAGATTACAAATACTAAATTGAGAGGGTTATTTTACATATTTGGTTAAAACAGCTGAAAAATATTTTGATCTGCATTTCATTTACATATAGAAATTACCTAATTTTAGTTATCTATTCCTATCTATAAACTGAAGCTACAAACATATATAAACAGAGGGTACAAAATAATCCTAGAAATACAATCCAATATTATGTGCAAAACATTTTGTATCCTGCCTTCAGCCAAGTATCACAGAATACTGTTGTACTTAATAAAAAGCCTTCAAATGAGCTGTAGGATACAATCTGCACCAGCATGTGCTCTGTGACTTTTTTTTCAAATTGTTTAATTGTGCAAATAACTATGTCATGACACGGGGAGCTTGTGATTGTGACCGGCAGTTACAGTTACTCGAAAGATCACTAGAGGTCTCACTAAACTTTCTAGCATTACTTTGGATTGCAAACATGGGAATTTCTTCTAAGTCACAACTATCCAGTGAACCAGCATTTCTTTCACGTTTCGTTTCGTATTTTCAAATTTCAGCACAATAATTTAAGTAGCTCTGCATTTGCTTATTTTAAGGACTTAAAGGGTTAGTCTGGCATCCTACTCTACTGCTGCCCAAAGTAGCAGAAGCTTTGAAAAAAAGTCAAAGAATGGTAACTATGTTAACTTCTCCTTTCACAACTTTTCAATTTCTGATAAGCAGTGGTCAAAGAATATTCTCTCTTTGCACCCAGAACGCTGTCTCCAACAGACACCTTTAGATCAATGATCCATTAACCCATCTAATGTTTTTCTGAAGCAATTTAAGTTTCTGGCCTCATCGTGTGGTTGTGACTTGTATAATTAATACATATGTTAAGGGAAAATCAAATGTTCTATATTTCTTTCTTTTTTTTGGTCTTTTTTATATTTTTTTTCTTGAAATCATTACCTAAACATTTTATAGAATATCTCCTCATTCCTACAGCTCAAGAAACAGAAAATATTCCTTCCTTAATCACTTTCCCTATATCACTTTTTTCCAAGCTGACAAATCTTTGTCTCTTCAGACATCCAGCACATGAAAGCTATTCAGTCCCTGTGGTCATCCTTTCTTACCTTCCTATTTAGTTTTTTCTGGTTCTATTGTAGTCTCTTCACATAAGTCAAATGCTACATGCAGTGTTCAAGATATGCAAAACAGGTTCATACCATGACTGAACAGTGGTATCTGGTTTGCTCTCAGTTAATTTTCTAATAATTTCTACTGTTCCAAAGGATTAAATTATTAATAAAGTGGACAAAGAAAGTGTCTTGTTTGCTTCAGTCCCATCTCTTCAAGTCTAACTGCTGTAAATGCAGCTAGGATTTATTCTCCCTGGAAGCTGTTCTGGACTTAGTAGCATTTAGCACTTGGAAAAATAGCAATGTAATTTTCATCATCACTATCTGTTTTTTAAATTTTCTCCCATCTTTTGTCAAATAGTTGTTATAATGAGAGAAATAAAAGGATAAATTACATCCAGAAAGGCTGTCTGCGATTGTCTGAACAATGCAATTATTGTCTGGATTGTGATGTGTAGATCTACATGCCAGTACCAGTATATGTACACCTACTGCCACCAAGCTATGGATTTCTGTTAACAATTTTACAGTGCTCAGTATTTCCTTGTGCTTGCAGCCAATAGTGCAATTGTATGTTGTCATCTGCAACATCCCTCGGAGGTCCTTAATACTGAAGCTGATGTTCAAATTTTACACATACTGGGTTAGGCAAAATTCATATCAAACAATACATTATTTGAACATGGATATGGCAGTATCCAGGAAGAAAAAAGTTGTACTTAATATGGCTTTTCATTGTCACATTTACACATGCAACTAAAAAAAATTACTCCCATATTCAGAATTACTCCTAGACTCCTCAAATATTTTGGATTTTTTTTTTTTTTTAATTAAAATTTCAGTGGCTGTTTGCCACTTCATTTGCCATTTTGAAAACTAGCTACTGAAGAGACATTCACCTGGATAGATCCAGATAGATCCAAGGATTTATCCTTGTCTTTTGGAATATTACAGTCATGGCCAGAAGAGATGCAAAGTGGAATTGTGGAAAGATGTTCCAGTATCTAGCTTGAAAACAGGTAACTCCCAAAGACCTTTTCAGGATAGAAGACTACCATTTTACAGCATCTTGCATAGACAATTATTTTCCATATAGACAGCATGACTTACAAAAATTCTGTAAACAGATCTGAGAGATCTCCAATGCCACACACAGGCAACTAAACAATGTAGCTGCTCTGCAGACAGGTCTATTCTAAGCTTGGAGACTTCTGTACTTATGCTTGCCAGACAAAATTTATGAGAAAATAAGTGAATTGTACCTGGTGGAGAACATCCTTCAAAGTGGAAGCAGAAGCACCAAATTTGACTGCAGGCTATGAAAAGGTGCTAAGAGAAAATACATCACCACACCCTTTTATGCCTTAGGTTGCAGGTTTGAGGAGATGCAGAACATGTGGTCATCCCTTACAGAGATGCCTGCTGGCAATGGGTGTGCACAAATTAATCCTGGTATGGCTATATTACAGCTTTGAGAAGACCAGTGATCAGTGAGGAAAAATAAGCAACTTGACTGAAGCTTCCTCATTGTGATGATTTTAAGGTAGAACCATCATTATTCACTCCATTTATAGACATATTCTGCTTTAGTTAACAGAAGTGTACATAATCCTTTCTTTATATTCTCTTTCATCTGTTGCATATTAATCCTTTATGTTAGATATTTTTGTATATATGAAAACACAAAACCAACTTACAAGCTAAAATGATTCAGATATCTCAGTATCTCAGCATAAAGCAAACTGACATAGACTACAAAAGGACAATGTTGTTCAGCAGCACTGTAGAAACTGGAATTGTCCTATGACTTCTAAATTAGTAATCAGGGCTTTATGCATGAAAATCGAGCCTTAAAAATTGTTTTGAAGTCAATGAGCATGTGGATAACAGTGACATAACTGATATATTCTACTTGAATTTCCAAAGAGCTTCATAGAAATTTGCTTTAAGGGCTCTTAAATAAACTATTCTCCTATGTGATAACAGAGAAAGGCCTTTCATACATAAATATCTGGTTAAAAAATGTAAGAAACAAAGGTTTGAAAAATGGCAGTTTTTCAGAGTGGAAGGAGGGATCTGTACAAGACCTGTGTTTTTCCATATGTTCACGAATTATCTGAAAAGGAGAGTGAGATGATGTTGCTTGCCAATTACACTAACTCATGGTAGTCAAAACAAATGCCGACTGGCAAGGCTTTCAGAAGTCATCTGCTAGGATGTCAGATTTCTAAAATGGCAGATGACATTCATTTTTCTTAGATGCAGAGTAATGCCTGCCAAGAAAAACAATTGATCTCTGAACCAGCTATTATCACTCAGAAGAGAGGTCTTTGATTTATATAGATAATGTTATGAAAATGAAAGCTCAATTCTCAGCAGCACTCAAAAGAGCAAATTCAATATTATGAAGTATGAGGGAAGGATTAGCAAATGAACCAGAAGCCATTGTTATACTTCGCTATATATACAAGGTGTGAACCCACCTTAAATACCTGCATGGAGATTTGGACCCTGAGATCAAAAAGACTAATGTGGAAACAGAAAAGATACAGAGATGATCAACAGGTAAATTGAAGTTAGAGAATGGCTTCCTTGTGATCAGTGAACAAATGCAGCAGGATTCACTGGCCTGCAGAAGAATTGATGGAGGGGTGATATCACACAGCTCTGTAGCCTATCCTGTTACAGACTTCTATGGAGAAGGTAAATTTTACATAACAAGCTTTTTGTTGTTTCTTACAACAGAAGTAAGGGTCGTCAAACAAAATAACACAGCTCTAAGATCCAATCAATCAAGTGCATTTTTTCCACAGTGTGCATTTAAGTACTGGTACTCATAGCCTCAGCATGTTGTGAATACCAGATGTTAATGGGGGCTAGATTTTGAAGGTGCAACACAGAAAGAATCTTGAAACGCAAGCATGGTCATGTCTTAACAGAGGTCAAGGGTGAAGATGACATTCAAATGAAGTACCTGTATGATAAACATACGGTTCTGATATTTGTACTGATCGTGATATGAAGTGGAAGCAAAGATTTGCAAAGAACTAGGGGTTTAGCTGTGTTGTGCTTAACTACTGGAGGCAGGACTTTCATCTATAGTTTGAAAAGCAAGAAACTGGGAAGGCATGGTTATCATCTGTACAGAGACACATTTATCGGGGCAAGAACATACAGAAATTGGTAATGAAAAAGAAGAACTGGGTATCAAAAGAATGTTTTCTCAAATCACGTTTCAATTTTTCTCATTGACTGACAGCTCCTGCAAAAATCATTCAAAGTCTTCTACTTAGATGCCTGATAAATAACAAAATTTTAAAAACCCCACTGCTTTCATTCATGCTTTCATTTTCAAGATCTCTCACAGATATGAGAATCAGAAAATACAATACATACAGTAAAAAGCCCTACCTGTCCAAGGTAGTATCAGACCTGTATCGTCCAAGTATGGCTTTCTGATCTTCTTTTTCATTTGAGTTACTGTTATAAAAAAGGTTAGAAATGCCACTTTAGTCACTGTTTTTATTGTTATTAAAATACTCATCAGCAATAAAATAATATATATAAGTCTTGAACTGAGGTATCATACAGGATTTCAGACCAGGTGTCAACAGAACCAACCTTACCTCCATTGTTATGATTGACTTAACAGTTATTGACATTGGAATCAGATTAACAGTGGAAACGTATAGACTAAAAATGAACATAGCAAGCTCTTGCTATAAACAGGATATTAGTAAAAGGATACTTAGTTTCCTTTGGCAATATCATTAGAAATGTGTTCAGATACTGTACTGTACCTGTGTAGGCTATCTTGGGATTTGTATTGACTAAGCACAGCCCTTCCATAGTTTTCATCAGCACTTCAAGCAAAAGAAAGACAGTGATTAGTTAAAATTTGAATATAAAAATAGAAAATTGTTTCTTGGCAAAAGTTTTCTGTACTTGGTCAGATTTCCCAGTTGTCTACTACTACTGTAACCACACCAGCTACAGATCTCTGCATTAGAAGACTTTAGACATTTTGGAGTAAAAATTATCTCTTCCTACATGCTCTTCATGGATGACATAACGAAGCCCAGATCTCAAGGTGGAATTTCTACTGTAACACAAGTCCTAGTTTGCATTAGAGTAAATTTCTAATTATTCTGACTTAAGCTCCTTAAAAGAACTTGCCAAGATTTATAATCTTCATGTTCATAAAAAAAACAAAAAAGTCAGATCATATTCTTGCAACCTAAATATGTGAAATGTGGGATTTTTCTGGTAGAGAAGCCTGATATCTCATTAAATGCTCAGTCCTCAAAAGTCCCAATGAAAAACATAGTGAAAGTCCAACAAACTAATACTTCCAAAAGATAATCAATACCTCATCGAGATAACAAAAAAAAAAAAAAAAAAAAAGTTCCTTGATTAAATTAATTTCATTCTGTTTCATATCATTCATGAAAAAGCAGACACTCCAAGATAATGCACACAGAATACTGAACTAAATACAGAAAAAAGTGTATGTCATATCTTTCTTACCTTTCCTCTTCAGGCCTCTTCTTTATCCAGCTGTTATCTTGCAAAAGGGTCCTTCGTTTATTAATATCATGAGTAGCCTGTTGTCTGCTTTTGATTGCAACAGAGGGGCTCTTATTATCTGCAAATGCAGGGAAACGTCTTGAAAATGAACGTATGGGATAACTTTGGATACTCAAAGCACTAATAAAAAGGCTGAAATATGTAAAAGTTTAGCACAGACTGAAACTTCAGCTATGCTGTTTAATGTAGACTCTTTCCTTGAAAAGCTTGTGGTTTAATCCATTCAGCCTTGAAGGAATTGCAGTAGCCCCGTTTATCCTACTAAATTCAGTTTCATTCTTAATATGAAACAGCTTCATATATTTTTAATGTAAACAAATGACACAGATCTGATAAAGGAATTATGAAATATACATACAACAGTAATTCCAGAGAAGTCAGACTAATGAATCGTGTTTCCTGGGGTGTTGTCTGTGGTTTTTGTATTTGCAGATGTGTGACAGGATGTAAATTTCAAATGAAAGTTAATCTTGAGATGATCACATGGTCCTCCACCTACTTCCAGCCCAACATGTGTGGATTTTCAGGTTTCTCAAAAGGGTCAGACTCCCTCTGAAGCTTCTTCCTCAGTGAGTGAATGAACAGAATCTCTTTTCTAACAAGCTACCTAGTTTTACTGAACTTTTAATAAAAGCAATACCTTTAAGATATATATCTTTAGATCAAATTTAACTAAAACTGGTGTATGGTTTCAAAGGCTATTTGGAGGGACAGACAGACGTACACTCACACACTGTATGAACATGGAAGCCTTATTTACTTATGAAAACAACCTAAAATTTCTTTGCCCAACAATGCTGATATTTAGTATATTGAGGAACTAACAATTGGATCTTCACTTGATTTGTGAGAATATATATTCTTCACTGTATTAGTAAGCTGATGTTTATCATCTCTTTTGGTTTCCCTTTATGAGGAGTTTGGCCCAGAAGCAAGCAAAAACATTCAATGACTATTGTCCTGTACTGTCAGTTCTTTTTCTTCCTACCTAGGTTTCAGATCGTCATCCTGTTTGAGGTGAGCGGCTGTTAACATTCCCTTTTAAAATGGAAGACTAGAACTTGAGCCAAAATAGGAAGTCCTTTTTTTAAATTGTGATACTTGCCCCAAACTTTCCCAGACAATGAAATAGAAAAACAAAATATGCAAAACCTTTCTCAATAACAACCAATTAATCAAGGAACTGTCTGATGAAGAATACTGTGTATCTTGGGTTTTCTTGTGGAGATCTTCATGATTTTCTCCACGAATTCCTCAGTCTCTGAGTATCCAAGCAAAAGGAGTTCAGCATCACAAGATTTTAGGAGACATCAATATCTGGTGTTCAGTAAGGACATTTGACCATAAAGATCATGTATGGAAAGACCACACTTCACAGAAAATACATGCAGTCAGTCTTGTATCATTTGTCAGAGCTGTGCTTCGGCATTCTGATGTGATTTATAAGAAACTGTAGTTCTTGCTTTTGATACAAGAACTTCAGCTGTAGTGATACATGAAAAATGACAAATAGCTACAGTGAGTGAAAGACCAACTCATAATAAACCCCCAAATATTTATTTTAAGTGACAGTGGCCAAGACTGATTTTTAAAATACATTTTTCTCATTAAAGAAAAACACTGTAGTACAGAGATAAAAATTCAGTCTAAAAACATATATCTGACTGTAACCCAAACTGTGTCTGCTCTTACATGCTGCAATTCACTGTAGATATGTCCATACTGTCAAATAAAAGAAGGTCAGTGAAGGAATTAAAGGATTGGACTCATCATTCTTGTTTGCCTAGTTGCAAACGTTCCCTGGCTCTGTGTTGGCCTAGCTATCTTCAAGACTGAGCTGCTAGAGAAGTGACAAACTTTTAAGAAGTATGGCTGTGATAGCACAGATGTGTGTTGCTGTCTCTTGGTCCTGATGCCAAAGTTTGGCTTTCTTTTTTAAGCAGCATACATGCAGCCCTTTGAGACCATTAAGAAATGAACAGACACATCAAAGGTGAGATCTGTAAGAATGTGCTGACAATTACAGCAGGGTAAGAACAAAAAGTCATCTATCCTCACTGCATGATCTCTGCATCAGCCTGTTGACTGCTGAGCTAGTTTTTCTCTTAAAAATATTTATTCAAATCTGACTTTAAAGCCTTAAAAAAATGAAGACATCCCAGCCTCGCCTGCATAGCTCCAGTGGTTCATTAAAATATCTATTAAAATAAACATTTCTTGCAAACTGAGAAGAGGAAGGACCTCCATCAGTTTAAACAAAAACATTGTCTCATAGTGACTGTCAAGAATGGAGATAGTTGTAATTAGCAAACAAGACTATATTAAGTGCATTTGCCCTAAATATTTACTGTTTTGAATATACTCATAATACTAGCCGTGACCAGGATGTAACAGGGACTTGGATGAATATAAATGGAAAAAAATTTTGCAACATTCAATATACAAGGATTTGAATGAAGATCCAATAGCAAAAGCTGTACCTTCCCATTGTCATAAATATTTAGATATTTTTGATTTGGTACAATGATTTGCATTGAGAAAACAAAAAAAAAAGTTAATTTTTGGAAGTAGGAAAAATGTGAGTTCAACTATATGCATTACTGTCTTTTTTCCAATGGCATTTTAGGAAAACTCTTATCACCTACCCAAAAATTACTTGGGTTTCACAGAAATCATGGCTTTCTTAATTGTTTAGTGCAAACAAGGTTTTGGGAAATGTCTTATAAAGGTGGTAACCAAGGAATATATATTGTGTTTTCAAGAAACATAACAAGCAATTTGCTAAAGTATGAGGCCTTGGGTTTGCTGAAGAGTACTCATTTCCAGTCTAATTGATTTTCTCCTAAGTTTCAGTTAAAAAAAAATAAATACAGATGTGATACAACAGTTCAGGTCACATGAGCGAAGGCAGATGGAGCTTATCCCTTTCTTATTTTGGCAATAAAAAGTTAATGTCCTTAACACGGTAGAGCCAAGCTGCTCCTCTCTGTTGCGATAAACCATTTTGGTGTAGCTAGGCCTGACATATGCCACATAAACCAGATCCTCATGCACCTCAAAACATTTCAGTCTTTAGAATTATTTTGTAGGTTCTGGGAAATGGAAAATTTCATTGTGTTTCCAGTTTGCCTCTGGTCATTTCTCTGCATAGAAAGCAAACCCCAGGCCTTCTCAAGTTTTGTCCCCCAAAGGAACAAACAACCCCATCTGACAACGATTAAATAGCTTTCTTCTCCTCTCCCTCACTCTAGTTTTCTTCAGTTTCTCCTCATTTCCCTTGAGCAAGTCAAAGAGATGTTGCTGCGATCGATGGATGCCCCCTCTCTGCCCACTCCCAGCCATCATGCTCCTGTGGGGTTTCCAGACAAACCACAGGCCTCAGCAGAGGGAACCGCCACGCTGCCTGGCTGCCTGGCCCCACCACCCTATGCCCTGTGTGGTGTTTTGGCCCCAGTCTCTGTCAGCAAAAGCTTATGCACAACACTGCTGGCTTTGCATCTGAAGTGGCTCCTAGTGTGAGTTTAATAACCAGCCTGTCATCTCTGGAGTGGCAGCGTGCACGGTGAGGGAGCCGCACAATGGGCACGGCAAAGCTTGGAAAGAAGGGAGGCTACACCTCAACCTCTAAGTGCTCCGAGATCAGAAAATGAAGAAGACTCAATATTACCGCTTGGATTAGGAGACTGTTTTCGTATGCTGAAAGCTGACATTTTGTTCGGTGGAGTGTCCTGTGGGAATCTAAAAGAAAACACAAAAAAGACAGAGTTGGTGGTGAGATTAGGAATCAGCCCGAAAGGCCATTTAAATTTGTTTGCCACTTCGGTCAGCTTGCACAAGTTTAGTCTGACAGTGTAGAATGACTTAGCATTAGCTGCAGCTCTCTTCAAACTGAAGTTCAGGCATGGTGGTGACTTTTCCCTCCCTGGTGATGACTATGTGTATTCCTGCCCTGCATCTCTGCCTGTCACCCTCATTTTCCTTGTCATAAGCTCCTTCCCTGAGAACATGTAGGGTGGTGAGAGCCTTCAGAGGACAAGACAGAGTAATGAAGAATGGGGTGAGGTGATTAGCTTAATAGAAAGATGCTATCAACCTGTGGCTCAGAGTGGCGCCTCGAGCGCACATGGGCTCACCCAGCCCTGCTGACGGGTCTCACAGCTTCAGTGGCCTGCAGCTAACTTGGGGGTCCAGGACAGAGGCAGTTCTTCTGCCTTGCAGCAGTTTTCCAGTCACTGACTTCTTCCCTTATCTCAAATCAGGTTAAAAAATGAGCCTTCAAGACTGCTGACTTAAAAAAAAAAAAAATTATTTGGGAGATGAGCCACTCTAAAGATTTTATGTTATGCTTTGAAACTGAATTTTGAATATCAGCTTTCCTAGAGAAAGACTCAAGCAGAACATAACAATATGTCAATGACAAAAAATTCCCCCTTAAGTGAAAAAAAAGCAAACTTAACATTAACTTAAGAGTGTGGAGAAAATTGGACCCTCTTTAGCAAATGGATTCCTTTTTGAAAAGCCACATTTTCCAAGAAAACAATGTTAAACTGGAAAGCTCCCAACCAGTTCCACTGGTCAGGCTGCTAAAATTTACAGAAGCACTGGAAAACAGTTTTTGTGACAGAAGCAGTTGTTAAAAATCAGAAACATTCCCAGTTCTCTAGCCATCTACCTAAGACAGAGTGGATTGAGAGACTGGAGTCTGTGGCTCTTTCTTTACTGCTGGAAGGTGAAGAAGGTGTTGAATTTTGGCAAAAGCTTAGAAAAATTACTAAAAGTAATACTGACAATGAAACATATAAAAGTAGTGGATGCCACAGTAAATAGCATTTAGAGCAGATTTTTCTATCTTTTTTCTAACAGACAACTGCTAAAAAAGTTTATGATTACCAAGAAAAGTAAGCAGGAACCCAAAATCTGGATGTAAACAAATACAGATTTCTTTTAAAAGTAAAGATATAAATGCAGAAATAATATTGGAGTCCAAAAGTCTACATATATCTTACCATTTGTGAAATTCCAGATGTTTATAAGAGTTTAAAGTTCTGCATGGAAAACTCTGACCCGCACTCCTTCCCCTTAACCTTAACTGTTGGTATCAAGCATGCATTGGCACAGTGTGTGTAGAAAACATGTGAGTGCTGGATATGGTTCCCACCCAATAAAAATATGTTCAGGGCTGGGGTGAGCCTTATTTATTTTGCAGTAGGTTATAAAATATCTTTTTAAGCATATATGCACAGAATTTCTCAGAAACTGTTCAGGAAGGTTATCGAGCAATCAGTTTCAGATAACAATTAACCTTGCTATAAATTTTCCTGAACTGTCACAAGATGATAGAGAGGACTCTGATTTATTTATGTTTTCAGTTTAGCAACAGCTGGACATCTGATACTGGTTTGTATTGCAGTTAGTCCCAAGATAATAGGAAGCTTGACATTTCAGTCTATTTCACAAGCAATGAGTGCTGGCAGTTCTTCATCTGGAGAAGGAGTAGTTTATATAGAAGAAACTTGGATTTATTTTCTAATAAAGACTTTTAAAGCCATTTCCTAAGGGAAGTGAATCATAAAACTTTGAAAATGGAGCCTTCTTTTGTGGAAATTAAACCAAATACACTCCTTCTAAGGCTTAGAATATTGTTCTAAAAATACACATTTTGCAATTTAAATATTTGTTATTAAAAATTACAGGAAACTTCCATATAGACTTCAAGTTATACTATAGCCTTCCTTCCCATAGATGCATGATGGCATCTGAAATTTCTCACAAAACTGCAAGGAAGTAACATAGAACTTTGATAAAATAAGAAAGCCTCAGATGTTTTTTCTGAAATATAAATTATCACCAAAGAAAAAATCCATAAATTTTGAGGCTTGTCTTTAAATCTACAGAACAACAACAAATACATTAATGACACTGAGACACTGAAAATCAACTGGAAAGCAGGTTTGCAACTCCCGGTTGTATTCATTCATGACAAAAGAAAGTCCAGCAAGTGTGTTTCTTTCATCCTCCATCATTTAATTAAAACTCTGGTTTGTCTCTTGTCCTATATTCACTTTCTAAAGATTTTAGGGCAAAAGAATATTTCTGTTGCACATGTATATGGCATCCAGAATAAACTACTACTTAGCCTCCCAGCCCAAAAGTAATATGCATAAATGAATACAAGAAACAGGCACACTCCCTTTTATAGTCAGCACTGAAAATGTGCCAGGCATTCTGAAATTTTAAACCCAAGCATGTTAGTCTTACAGAATACTGTCATATTGTCCTCAAGGTTTACTTCTTGCTTCCGAACTTTCAAGTTGTATATCAAAGATTAATCCATTAAGATTTAAAATGCAAATTAATAAAAATATCCTACTTTCATCTCTAGCACAGGCAATCAAGAATCATCAGAGTAAGATTTAAATTTCAAGATCTTAGAAATGAAAAGAATCTTGCATAAACAGACAGAATAAAACTCATCAAAGCATTTTTTTTCTTGGTCTTCACTGTTGTGAACTAAGTGTGTGTATGTCTGTGTATGTGGAAAGAGAAATGAACAGAAGATTGTGAGGTTCACATTCATTTAAAAACCATCACATTATTTACACAGATCAGTTAACTGCTTATATTCAGTCTAGAGTTCAAGGGAGATTTAAAAAAAAAAAAAAAAAGTTTTTAACTTCATAAATGAAATTGTGAGAAAGAAAAGTTACAGGCTTCTATAGTATAGTATAGTATAGTAGTAAATTATGTTCAGGCATTCTTAATAAGATCTCAACCACTGAAGCAAAACAACTCAGCTGGAATGCAAAACAAAAACAAACAGGAATGCAGCTCCAGTGTAATTTGATTTTAAAAACAGCGTCAGGAAAATTTAAAAGAAAATTAAAACTGCCCCAGCCAGTCCAATGAGCAGTTCCCCAAAAGATTTAAGACATGCCAATCCTGGATTAGACCCTCCCCCATTTTGGGGGGAAATCCAAATACAATCCCCCCAAAAAACCCTAGAGACATGACTTCAGGGAAAGTCAAATGCCCCTCCAAGTTGCTAGCAAGTTATTCAGAAAACAGCACAGGTCTCAAATTCTATTTTTGTCACAAATAGCCATATTCACACTTCTACATATCCCTTCCACATCCTGCAGTGACTGATCAGCAGAAGACCTCAGGCCTGCCTTAAATTCTCAAAACTAGACCTTCTAGTTTTCAGATGGACTGAACACACCCATTCTCCCAACATAGAGTCCTCTTGCCTTCCTTCTTCTGTTTTTGGCTCTAGCTGTCTATGTAATTATGTTTCACATATATGCATTGCTGTATTAAAAAAAAAAAAAAAAAAACAAAAACAACCAAACCATAAGAATAATACAAACATTTCCTGTAAGAATCATGTTTTCCACATCAGACTGAACTAGTTATAAGCAAAAAAAGGCTTTGTTCTTTGGCTTCTAGCTATGACAGTGATTAAGACCTTATTTATAAATATTCAGTTTATATTTATTTTGCTTTTAAATATTTCTTTCCACAGCTAAGAGGTACCGCATATCGTCACACTGTATAATAAGTAATTCAACATAGTAGATGTTGAGAGTGTCGAGGGAGTGTCAAGCAAGGTACACCTTCTCTCAAAAGTCAAAACATCTGGTTTTTATACTGAAGTTTTTTGATATAAAGCACTGCCAAATGTGAATGCCTAAAACATCAAACTTCCTACTATTATTAATGAACTGGGTGATACAAAGAGCTGTAGATTAACATCTAGTTTAAAACAAAAAAGTTACAGAATTTTCCCATCTTCCAACTACTTGTGCTTCACTGCTAAAGCAGCCTGGACTGTAGAGAAGCCACTGACTTTAGCATGTCCACGTAAAATGCCAGCTGGAACAAACAGGTTTCTTACATATGGCTCTACACAGTCACAGCTTGCTGACTACTGTTTGGTATGCATCCTTAAAGTTTCAGCTTTTCAGAGAAGTCTAGTATCTGCCATATGAAGAAGAATATAAACATATACTTTGTTCTTTCATTATCTCAAATATGAAACTTTCCACCAAAATTTCATCTCCTTGAAGGACTATTCTGTTCTGAAGTAAGCTGAACATTTATTTGCTTGTGAACACTCTGCTCCACATTTTAAATTATTCTATTAGAAATCTAATAAAAGGTTAAGAAATTAATTTCCCACATCCTTTGTGTTTTAACTATTGTCTTGCTTTCACTGCAGTCTAGGAGAAATTTTGGATAGTATAACTATTTGTGAGAGAGTAAAACGAAGGCTTACTTTAGCTTTATTTTTTTAGTTTTGTTTTTTGATTTTTTACTCTCCACTGGAACTCTTAATGTCAGTTCTATACTACATGGCCTATCTTTCATTTATATGAGATGAATGTAGAGAATATGACATTTTAAATGAAAATACATTCGAACCTACTTAATCACAGTTTCAAAGCTCACTATGATATTTCCTTGCCTTCAGTCAACAATTTTTATGTCAGGTCAGCAAACTTTGTGATCTTCTCCATCATTTCTGTGGAATATATCTGAATATCTGTGAACAAGCAACTGATTACAGTAATTCTGACAATACAGGATAAATTTCTCCAAGCCTTAGAAATAAGACACTGTGGTGACACATCATTACAGTTGTTCTTGTAGACATTCATAATTGTGTGAAGTGAAATCTTTCTGGTTTGGAAGTTAATGCCAATTTTGTTGTTCTCTACATCCATCATTTACCCCCTCAGATATCAGAAGTGCTATGACTGGGCTGTCAGATCTGTCTACCTATACTTCAACTCTAATAAGAATTTGTATCTCTAAACATGGCGTCACTTCGTGATTGCAGGTGAAGGCTGTTTTTCAAGTCACCATCAGCCTGAGCCACCCACAGCTGTACCATCCTTCACATTTCCAAATTTGCTATTTCAGTCAAGCATATGACATCCTAAATAATAACCCTAAAGGCCCACTCAGGTGCAGATCTGTATGTATAACTGATGCTGCACTTTCTTCCCTCCAAAATTGTCACCATCATCCACTGCAGTAGCTCAAGACTGTAGGTCAGGACATGCAGTCGAAAGAATAATGGTGTTGCTAACTCAGCACAGTACCAAGCGTGTACTCAGAGCTTAACAAATAAACACTGGAATATCATTTATATGCTTCAAAATTATAAGTAACATTATTCTGTTTATTTGGCAATTAGCTAGCCTTTTTGTGCCTTTTCTGAAAACTACACATAAAACCCCCTATATTTATTTAAAAGACATTGAAAAGTAACAAAAACATATCCCTAGAGTGATTTTTTTTTCAACATCATATCAGAGCAATAGCCATATCATACATTTGTAAACTTCTAAAATACTTAGTGTTTAAATGAGCATTTTTCTATACAGTTTAGGCCACAGAATTGATAACAACCCTCACAAAGAATAACAACATGTATGTGTGTAAAAGAGAAAACAGTCAAAGTTAGAACAGGCAAGGTAGGACTAGAGAACACGTGAATGTATGACAGAAATCATTCATCTATTTGTAGCAGAAAGAGCTCTCAGAACTGGTTTTTCAGGACGTGGGCGGAGGAGATTCTGTTTTGAAAGAAATTAAGCTTTGGAACTGTCAGTAATGTAAAATCAGCTGCTAAGTCAGAACCCAAATTTCTATGTGTTTTCAGATTAGAAATATATGATGAGTTTTAAAAGCTGGACTTTTTTATAATAGAGTATCAAAAGGGGGTGATAATTTTAGACTCGTTTATTCAACTCATTGCTTTCATTTTGCTATATTTTTGATGAAGAATGCTTCCTGTTTATACATGGGTTCCATTCATAGTACAGATAAGCCATTGTATCAAAGCAGAATGGGTAATTTTGCTATACCTTTAGTAAGGGTTGAAATGATTTCTTGATACTTCACAAGTAGTTTGTTCTTAAAAAGCAAACTGTTGCTAATTTTTTATTTTCAAAATCATATACTTGAAGCAAATAAATGAAAATTTAATACTCTTTAATTGTTGATAAAAATTCCAGGGAAAGAATATAGAAACAATAAAGTTAACCAAAGAGCAAAACTCACATTAAAACAGCTCTTCGGGAGAAGTGGTCTGAACAGTGAGTTTGTTATGAGAGAAATAGCACTAAAATAAAATACAGTTAGAAATATAATGTGTGTAACAAAGTAATTAAGATAGTATGGCCAAGAGAACATTTCAGAAAGGTCCAGGGAATTTTAACACCTAAGAGCTGGGTTTTCATAGTCAAGTTCTCCACCCTTCTTGAAAATCAAATTCTTTGAAGTGGGATCGTTAGCTGGACACTAAAAAAATCACAAAACATCTAAAACAGTGGGACTTTCATTATACGGTATATAAAAACAGAGAAGTAAATACCCTTACCTAGATATGGTAGAAGTTAGTGTCCTAATGTGGCTCAGTGTGATACGTCAACCTGGAGATATCTGGAAGTGAGGTACAATCAAAGCAGACAGAGAGCTGAACTGTCGTTCCCCATCCAGCTGTCTGAAAAGTCAAGAGACTTCTCCTTCAGAGGCTGAGTCACTTAAGGAGGAGGTAGGAGGTGTGGAAAAGGGTGGCACCTTGTAGAAATACCAGATCAATTAAAAGTACCAGTGAGTTGTTATACATCTGTGCTTGCTGTGTCTTTCAAGTGTGGTAGGGCTGGGTTTCACAAAATGAAATGTTTTTACAGACCTTGAAACAGAAAACCAAGCAATTACTTTTGGGAAGAAATATACTACACTCCTTTGGATTTTCCACAGAAAAACACATTGCAGAGCTACAGGGCTGCTTCTCAGCTGGAGTGTTTCACATATTTACACAGGCAAACATGAAGAAACGCCATATTTCATCAAAGGAAAATACGGCAGAAATGTTATGTGGGGAACACACGCTGGAATCTGATACGCATTAAGTATTTGCGTAGTTTGAGTATGTGGGCAGAGGCAAAAGATCTGTGGGGGAAAACCCTCCCACATGAGATCTTGTTGCAAGTCTCTCTTATCTGTGCACATTTGCATTCTCCTTCAGTACAGCCAGTAATAAACAGAAAGAAGAGACTTCCTTCACTTTTTTTTTTTTTTTTTTTTTTTTTACAATGGCTGCAATACGTTTCTTGTGGAGAAGAGCTAATAACAGCCTTACTATTAATACATACAGCAATGAGGAACATAAATTGCCTTATAGGAATGCTGTATATGACCCTCTGGTTCTGTTTAAGATACAGAGTCTGGTTTTAAGGTATTTTATACAAGCCCACACATTTTATATTTGAGGAGCTTTTGTAACGAAATGTATAAGATGTGGTTATATAAGATTCTGAGTTACCTTTAGTCCTATTGTCTTTTGTGAAAATTAAGAATTTTTTCCAACACAGAAAAGCAAAGCTACACAAATTACCTTAGTAAATATCACCTTATCCATATTTCTAGTCTTTATTTTTGATGATGGTTATCTCTTCATAGGCTTGGTACTTAGTAACATGAAGTTATTGTCTAAACATCGGTTATATCTGATGAAATACAGCTGATGAAGCAGAGCAGCAGACAAGAAAATACCAAGTATAAACTACTAACTACCACGTTTCAGAATTAATTAATACAAACAAGCAAACCTTTCTGAACTTTGTACATCTCATCTTCTGGGTTTCTGAAAGTGAAAAATACTTATAGCAGTCCTGGCATGTTCAGGTACACTGTACTATATGCTTATCTTTTTACAATCAAAAAGATTTTATGAATGCATCTCTTTGCAGACATATTATGATTTTTCAATTTTAATACCCATGCATCCCAAATAAAACATATGTCTTTCCTCATAAGCAATGCACAATAAAAATTAGCTGTAAACTATCTACATACACTTTGAATTGAAATGGTCACATACCTTTGATTTATAATAGCAGTTAAGACTAGGAGTACCTTTTTGTTTTGATGTGCTTTTCTTTCACAATCCAGGTCCTAGATTATATTAATTATTACCCAGAATATGACAGAGGCTTATTCTAAGACAGTCCTTGCTAAGTCTTTAGCAGCTGGCATGATAGAGTAGACCATCTACAAGAAAATACATACATATAAGAAATTCCAACAATGGTACTGACCTCCACTCAAGAATAAAGCAGGCTAGCTATCTTTTATTGACTGATCTGCAACAACCAGTAAATTGAATAGATAGTGCATTTTTAATGTTAGCTATGCTGATTACTTAATATTTCAAAACTGGAAAAGGGAAAAAATAAAAATATTTTTGAAGGTTAAAGCAAATCTGACTTACTGCTAATCATTCTGTCTGATTTTCTCTATGGTATCACATACAAATATTGTACCTGGTGAATAAAGAATATATGATACAGTGCCATGTATCAGGAATTGAACATTTTCAGCATACAGTGAAAATGACCCATAACTATTTTTCATGAAAAAACTTCCCATACTCTGAAGAAATTCAGAGGAACTTAAACTTTGCCTCTGGCTCTCAGGATAACAAATAAGATGTGTCACAAATCCAGCTATCCCCAGATTGTGTGAACAGTTCTGCAGTCAGGGTTAGAGAACAGTTTTGTTTTCATTCATCCTGATTCATCTGAAGAAAGGTCAGAAATGTAGATACAGTGAAATTTAATTGCTCAGACTATATCAGAATTTGAATTATGTCTCACTCATTGCCCTTCTCGCTCACAAGAAAATTCCCCTGTTGTAACACAAACAGATAACATTCTGAACACAGATTTTTCAGCAGTGTCAGAAAAGAGCAATGCAAAAAATACAAGTGTGTATATGCCTCTGTGTTGTCCATGATCGACTTTTAATCATAGGATGTAATTTACCTAATCTACTGGTTCACCACATGCTTCACTGATTTAACTAAATTGAAGGAATTTTATTTTTCGTTCAAACAGCAGAGTGATTTGGTGATGTCAGTAACTGATTTCATATCTACCTACCACCATAGTATGTATGTAGTCTGTTGGGAGTTAGGCAAATACTCTGCTTTTTTTTTTTTTTTTTTTTTTTTTTTTTTTTAAATTCTCTGAAAAATAGGTACAAACATAAATGGTCAAATCCTCAGCAGATATAATGGAATATAACTCCACCAAAATCATTCTGATAAAGATTGATTTATATTAGCAGAGTTCATGGCCTGGCAAGATTTCTGTGAGAAAATTAGAAATGTCTTAGAATTCCTCCCTACATTAACTCCTTTTAAATTTATTAATAACAAGCTATAGGGACACAATTCTGATTAGTAATCAGAGGTCACTATCTCTTGCTGCTTAGACTGCCAGCATACTTTGGAGGCCATTTTTAGCAAGCTCATTTTAAATACCTCATCATCCAAAGAATTCTTAAAACGCCTCCTAAGAAACTGTCAGTAGGGGATGTTGACTTTTAAAATAGAGTAGCACTGGCAGAAAAGTGAACATAATTAGTTCAGAAATGTCATCATCTAGATTTGAATGGCATATTCAGTATTATTAAAGTCAAATGCATGTAGCACCCTACAGTGGCAATACATTATTGTACTTCCCAATTCCTGCTGTTCTCTGAACAAGATGGTCATGTTCTGTGTACTTAGCTTTAGTTTATACTTTTTTAAAAAGTCTATGTCCCTTGATTGCTAGTAAGATGCATTTTATCTACATGATTTTCTTGTCAATTTTTTGTTGAGTTTCCATTCTTAAATACAAAACATACTGCAAAATATTGTGCTACCTCCACATCCTTATTAAGGTTTATAAGATGGTCATCATACAAAAATAACATAATGTAGCACAACCCTGTTGAGCTTTTATATAGATTCACAAGAAAGAGATGGGAATGAGCAATGACTCAGCAGGCAACATTTTAGACAAAATGCCATTCTGTGACTCCTCCCACAAAGAGAGGAATACATTACTACATACTTTTTTTTTCTCATATGCCTAGTCTTACAGAAGAAAGGTCCTTTAATACTCCAGACCTTCGAGGTAGGATCGGTAAACTACTGTTTCCTGGATTATCAGATAGTGTTATTATTATTGGGGCATCTGAAAGATTTAAAGACATTCTGGCAAGTTCTGTTCAAATTTTCAAACTGTTCTTCAAACTTTTTAGTTTCAGGATGCAGATAAACAGCTACACTTATCCTATTAAGTTAAACATATCAAAACCCAATCTCTGACCTGAGGGCAAGTCGCACAACATGGTTTGTATCTATATCACTAAACTAGCTTTCCAAAAAGTCGTGCGTGGCCTCATCCACTCTCCTATTGGAAACAGTCTGGGGCTTGTACTAGAGAGACCCAGACTTTTTTCCAGAGATAATTAATTGGCAGGAACAAAACTGTGTCAAGGAGTGTGCATGATAATGGCAAGGACAAAGAGAGGATATTGCTCAAGCCCAGGTCCTAATCCTCCTTATTTATGTAGTATGGTCCTACTCATTGGACCTGATTTTTCTGAAGTGAATTGTGTTCAACATAACTGGTGTCAAAATATGACTAAAACTAAACACTCTAAAACACACAGATAGGTGTTGGCAGTGGATGATGGCCAGCTGCCAGACAGCATTTAGGAGTCAGACACAGTTAGTTAATGTAACATTTATTTGGGAGGTGGGTTGCACATCTGTGCCACCAGCACATTTTTCTTGCTTAAGCTTGGTCTAAGATCACCTATATATGTAGCCAGCACTTCTAACAGGTTATGCCAACAGGAGAAGAGTCATTTAAGGAAAAAAGAACTCAGTGCAGCAAATATAATACTGCTTAACATAGAAAAGGAACTGATGCTCATGCATAGAGTGACACCTTCCTCTTGAAGGTGACTAACACAAGGACTACTCCTCCCTTAAATCCTGATTCAGCCCTACATAAAAAAAGGGAATGCTTGAAACTTGTGTTACCCCTGTGTACAGAGGTACTTTTCACCCCTGGTCAAAATAATTATCCAAGGGAACCTATTGCCTATGGGTACCCGCTTACTAAGAGGTATATGTGACTCAGGACCAGATCTGAAATGCTTGTGTGAATGCCAGTAGCATTCATGACTGCAAGAGAGAGGAGAGAGAAATAAGGAGTATGATTTTTTTTTTTTTTCCCATGGGCCAGTTAGTCTATCATTAGACTCTCATGGGGTTTTTGTAACTTTCCCTTAAGATTCTGGTTCTTCTGCTCTTAGACAGCCATCTCAAAATAAATAAAACTACTGATCTGATGTAAGATGGAAACTTTCTCCATGGGTCAGACTATGATGCAGGAGATAAACAATGTCCTGGGCAGCCTTGTAAAGAGCAACTACTGTCAGTGCCAAGTGCCTGGGGTCCTTTTCAACAATTTTTTTCCTCCCTTGGTGCTCATGTCAGAAATTGTCTGAAAAAATGTCAGAATTCCTCTGCCTAATCCACACATGACTCATCTCCAAGCATGCCTAGGTCTTTCAAAGAACAGGACAAGAAAACAACAGCCTACCAATGGGAAAAGTTACTTAGTCTATGACTAAACCCAA